AAGTTGATTTTGGTATTCTAATTCAATAAAAAGGGTGGTTTAGACTGCGTCGACAGTTCAGGAATTCCAGGAGAAGCTTGATCATCGATGATCGAAAATCAATAACCTTATAACGACCCTGATTGAAGCATTTTACGAACACGTGTTTCCTAACTCCACATGATTCAATTCATCTGTTGGATAGAATAACCTACAGAATTCCGGTGTTTTCTTAGGCGAAGTCACTGTTGTTGCTCCAGATGCACAAACTAGTTTGCTCAGAAGCTAGAATAACCTATGCAGCCTTGAAACTGTTTGTTTATTTATTTGGGGCACCGAATGCATATGCGACACACAAGTCACTTGATCTGTGTGTGGACTGAGATGCTGCCCAGGTGCCCGAGTCGAGACAGGTGGTTTCCTTAGGGGGTCACACCCGCAGCCTTCGACCTAAAGATCTGATCCATAAGGCAGTGGAGCAACGTCAGGAGATACAGTCCCATGGTAGCCGGTGACCAACAATTAGTTGGTATACCATTTGTTCCCAAAGGATCCTAAAGCCCATATGCACCGTTAGTTTAGAATCTGAGTTTTCTAACTCCATTGGTGTATCCTCTAAATACGTCTTCTCAGTTAAAGTGTCAGATATTCGCTTTTCGTACCCGCGTAAACAACACCCCTGCATCGAAAAGGCTGTGATTAGGAATTCCCTAGCAATGACTGTGAACGCGTGGACATGTGAGAGCACTCCGAGAGGAAGAACTAACTCTCCTCAACCTCGGTCGTACCAAGGCATTCAGAGGCTTGACACTGTACCACCTACTGAAAATAAAGGCCCATGAAATAAACCCCAAGTATGATCTAGAAAATCATCAGGTGTTGCTCGGATATCTTCTGAGAATTTAACTGCTTACAAATTTGAACTAATTAAATATTGAGAAGTGGAAGAGTAGAAGTTGTTGGTATGAATTGTTTGGTTCACTTCCATTTGGCTTGGAGAAGTATCGCTTATGACTGTGGCATCAGTGATATATTACAAAGCAAACAATTCACTGGTAACGATTCACTTCAACAAACCAGGTAGCTTCATTTAAACGGCACTATTATTATGCACTACAAAGTTGTTTAACCGATTGTTTTCCAATAAACATGTTATTCCCTGCTGTTAGTTCATAATTTTTTACTCTTCTTTAAACAAAACTCTAATCTACTGTATTTAGCTGTATTCCGAAAATAAATATTAACCAATCAATACCCCAACCAACGTTTTTGAAAAATAAACATTGAAGCCACTCAAAACAAAGTTTTGTTAGCTCAAAATGTCATGCCATCGTTTTTCTTTAAATTTATGACGATTAAATGCTAGCACCGATCATTCGGTAAGCTGCAATAAAGCTAATAACGTTATCAACTTACAGCATAGTAACAAACAATTCGAAATCCTGTATAGATAACCAAATAGCACGGGAACATTAGGCATGAATGACGAGGGTATATTGGTTTTAAACATCATTTTTAATAAGATATTCAATGTTTGTTGGTTCCGTTCGTAGAACGGAGCATGATAAAAAGTGATCATTTGCTAACTTCAATGGGCCATCAGTAATTTAAGACCCACATTATACTTTGTAGTATAGAAATTATAACTTACACATTTCGCGACTAACAATTGCTACCCTGACGTTATGGTTATACTCATATATTATCATAATCTAATCTGACCAATCCAACTGATATTTGTTCTGCGACTTTACTATATGGAAATTTTCAGCAGGGTGGAACCCTAAAGTAGACAACCACCATAATGCATATAGTTTTGATCTTCTTGAGACGTGCTGGGGGAAAATAATTGTAAAGTATTGTATGCACAACAAGGCGTCTTCCTCGGTTCATTAGCGCTTCTAAAGGCACTGTTTTCTCATAGTCGGAAGTAAAGGCCAGAACAAGTCAACTCTGGAAAATGTAAATCAAACTCTGCTGTGACCTTCCTTTGTAAATAGTAGTGTGCCTCAATGAGTGAATATACTCAACTGAACTCCACGACTTCAAAAAAAATTCAGCCACTCTGCCTCGGCTACACCCCAACATTAATTTACATTCTGACTGTAATTTAAACTACTATGCTCCAGTAATAAATTTGAACACTTTCATTATGGTGAAAAGAACTTTACTTACTAATAAACATGCATTTTGGGAAGGACAGAACAGTGAACTATGTAAAACAGCAACATAAAGGTATTGTTTGCGATTGTAACAAGGCGTGTTTTCCCATTTTCAGGTCCATTATGACACACGCATCAGTCCCAGAGGAGGTTCGTGAGGTCAACGGGATCACTGGGAATATGCTTCGCTTGTCAGTGGGACTAGAAGATCCGAAAGACCTATCACTCGACTTATATGAAGCTTTTGACAAATTGAACCAGAATTCCAAACCAATATAAACTTGTCCTCTTTAATTATTGATTGACGTTTCTTCAAATAAATTCACATAATGAATACTTTACAAATTTTTATGACTATTTACTTAATACGTACACAAATATCGGGCTAAGACTGATTGGCATCAATGCTACTGGTAAAGAATCTAGTTTTAGCAATCGCATGCTCACGCACGAAAAGTCAAAACATCTCTGGATAATATACGTGTTAGATAAGTACTGCATTCTAATGGACCGAATTTTATCTGTTATCATGCTGCGCAGCTCTTGGTTAGCGAGCATTCACCTAATAAGCAGCCTTCTTATTGAGTTATGTCAGTGACCAGCTTCATTGTTAATTAGGCCACACTTAACTTATATCTCATTTTCCCGCTAGTGTCAGTTTGATCTTTCGTAAACGCGAACATGAGTGATTGGCCAGAGGTGTTCAAACAATTCAAAAGAAAACCTAAGCAGAATGGACACTGAGATGTGCCATCGCTTGAACTACAAACATGGTGTCGCAATAGACCAATGGATATGAGATCTGTGGTTTTTTGTACTACTAACCGCGTTATAAAACAATAACCGCCCAACGTTTTCAACCATTGCTAATATCAGGGAACAATGGACAATATGTAAGTCACCGAGATGACATTCGTAGCACACCAAGCCACCGAGGCTAATGTATCAAAGTGGTGATACCAATTGGGTTGTCGTCACTGTGCCCAAACATTGTCGAACCTCGGCATTTCTTACGTGGTGTTATCGCTGAATTTCAAAACTTTCGTAGACAACGATGACTGAACATGGAGAGCTACTCAGCGTCCTTCACTCCTAACACGTTGTACACTCGACCTTATACAGCCAGACTAATGTCAAGACAGCATCGAAGATTATCACGATTGTGATAACATACCGGTTCTGCCAATACGTAGGTCGTTTACACTACTCTTCTCACCATCGGAACTCACACGACTACCCAGACAAATGAACCTTCCGACCACTTCTGGAGGTTTACGACCAAGAGAGGGAGCAAACAGACTTGTAAGACCAATTTACATGCCGTACCCACTGCTATTCATTGACAACTGGTCTCAAAGCTTATCATTTGACCGTGAGACAATATGATGGGTGTACTCAAGATCAAAGTCTGCCTCCATATGGATGAACTACACTACCCACCCCACCAAAGCTACCTCCAGTGATGGGAAAGTTGAAAACAAACGATGAAATGGCGCGACCCCACGGCTTGGATGAGATAATGGAGACTGGCGGTCACACGTCCTAATTCTTCCTGAAATACACCTCTATAAGGCTCTCGGGACGTTAGTAGACTCCCCAGACACACCAACCTAATAGACGGCCCGATAGTAAAGTCTTATCCCGTAAATCGACGACGGATCCAGTGTCAAGAAATTCGACGGTTGACCGCTCGCCACGAATGACTGTACCCGAGCAATCAGTGAAACGTGGTTATGCGATAAATATGTCCACAACCAAGACGGGCAGTAGGCCCCACACCAGTCAGTTTTACGGGTTTTCGGCAACAAACGAAGCATGACGGAAGCCAACTGCTTGAATGTAATCAGGACGTCTTATCGCTCAATAGATGCAGCAGGCAAAACGTAAACGTTCTGAAGACAAGAACGACAATAAATCAGCATAAGTGGTTTTCCTACATAAGGCAAGAACGTTGTACGCCATCACTAGTTAGATCTTTGACGGCAGTCAGGACGGGGTACAAAGTTATAAACTGTCGAAATGCCTCTCGATCGCATTGTCGAGTGTAAAGTTCGCCACACACCCCCATGAGCTAGTAGCAGGGACTAAAGACACCAAGATTCTGTGCCACATTCTCTCTGGCGCTGATGTAGGAATAGACAGTACTCATGTTACAACCAACCGGTATAACAAGGAATTTTGCACATATTCTTCGGACTTCCCAGATAGAGCTCAACGTGGCACGGGGCGCTACATGGAACTACAACTAGACACCAGTCGAAACAACATTCCTCCAGCTGATATTGAGTGCTCTACACCCGGCTTGAACGACGCTCGAGACCGGCCACATGGGCTGGAAATAAAGAGAATGCTTGAAGTGAGTACGAATAGACGGCCTGCTTTATTACGTGCAAAGTACCAAAGTACCAGAACTGGTCACCCACCCTCGTCCTACTGTAAGCTGCATACGAGGCCCCTAGGTCATTGACACTGATCGTGCCTGATCGACAAGCCTTGGCAGTTACCACGGGGAAATCACTGTTGTGTAACGAATGACCCTACCCCACCCACAGGCTAGCTGACGCAATATTCATGACGCTTACTGTGACACCATGCCCAACTACGCAAAAAATGAAGCCTGGTTGGGTCGAAATATTTGCACTTCAAGGCCTTCTGATTGAGTGACAACTACAGACAAGACAGAAGTAGAAACAGATATTTCAAGAAAACCTTTTTATTTGACTGCAAATCTGACAAATTTTAGTTGCTGCAAGTACAACTTCGAAAAACGAATGCATTGACCATGCTATTGGCAAAATATAGAGCTGTCGCGTAGTTTACCAGGTCAGCTACCCGCTGACCAACAAGATACGCATTACTTTAGCATTCAAGCGACCGCTGGTAGTTCAACAAGCGGAGATACAGAATGCACTCAACCAACTATTCGAACTTACCAGTTGACGAGACACCTGAAAAGGAAAAGAAATAGCGTTTTAGAAATGGTAGAAAAACAATCAGTCCTGTTGAGCAAGATAATCACTTATCAATCATAAACATTTCATCACCTGAATTTAGCAACTCACCACTTGAATAAGGAGACTTGTGGTTACGACATATTCCGTACGATCTGAAATGCAAAAACAAACACTCATATTTGCATCTTGTTACTAGTGCATAATCAGGCCTATCATTGAAATATCATATTCATTAAGGGCTCAAACTTTCATCACATTACACAACTAGCGCTTACCAAATTCAAGGAATTCACGACTGGCATTCAAAAACTGAAAGGCATCTCCACGAATATAGGGCGGTCTAAAATAGAAATAACGACAATATTAGCTGAATACCCTTGTGATATCAGATACTATCTAGTGGCATTCACTGTTTCATCCACATGTTAACATCATAACACTCCACACTAAAGCTTACCGCAAACTACCTACCCACGGAACAGTCACGACGTGACATGCACGGGAGCGAGTTTGACCAAATACATCTCGGCACGTCAGCTAACAAGCTATACCTCAGCTAAACACATCCAATGCTCAATGTGTTAGTTTATTAATTGGATATTACCGAACGCACCGATCCAGGTGATTAGGCTTAGTAGGTCCAAGAACGTTTTCTCCAAAGTTGATGGGTACCATTGCTTTTCGAAAACGAGGGAATTTACGATCGACTTTTGTGACTACACTTACAATTAACCTTGGTATAGACAAGACTCTAGATAGCCCTTGGTAGTCTATGAAGTTGTGGCCGGCATATATTTCAATGGATTCGATTGCATTGGCTGAAACTCACTGAAGTCTAAATCACTGAGTTAAGATAATATAACTCTCCAAAAGTGGTCAATGTCTTGATTGTTTGGGGTTGTGTTCCGTAACTCAGTCTTGTGAACAGCGATGGTTAGATCACACAGTAAATAGTCATCAGGGTATATTAAGATATCTATTTTTAAGACTTGCTACGTAGTGGAAGCATATCTCAAACCACCCGGTTACTTCTCGTGAGTAATCCAAACAGTAACTTTCTCATAGCAGCATTATAATAAATAAAGAAACGCTTGTTGCAATACAAAGGCCTCGTCAAAATGTCATAAACCATCCTATCATTATAGAAGTCGCCTTCCACTGTTGGTGAATTGAGATCTGGCTCGCGTACTGTATGAATAGCCAACATATGATTGATATGAAGACAAAAACGCTCCAGACATTGAGAAACCGTGACTGGGTTCCACTTAACACTTCATTATAAACCTTGGACCTAAAGATGTTACAGATATTCATGGCTTGACAACGCTTTCGTTTTTAACACCTTTATAATTGAGGATCCCAATCCCAGTAAAACTAGAAGTCAAGAATCAAAGGGTACAATGATATATTTGGAAGTGAGTCGATATGCCGAGAAGCACGTAATCCAAGCTGACTAGTTGTCTCGAGGAATACGAAAAAAGGCTAACCCACTCGTAAGCTGGTGCGGACGCATGACCGAGAGCATTCATCTATGCTGTATCCAGTAAAACTAATGAGGTAAGTATCAATTTCGTAGACTTGGGGAACTTCTGTTACGGATAAATCGCCGTTATCAACTCGTCCATGACAAAACGTTTGCTGGCCTCCAGAATCCAAGATAATCTCGGTGTAAACAAAGGCATGATGAGATTCCATATAAGTTTTCCAGAAGGAGTATCATTCTTGTACACAACCACACCTGGTTCTGTTTATAACAGTGTGGTCAGTTTGATTCCGAATTTGAGTTGCAAATGCGAGAAATCAAGTCGCACATCGGTAATGGCTTTGTGAGAACTTGGCCATGGCAAGAGACAGTCTATGATCGGTACAAACTTGTAGAAGGCGGTCACCATTGTCTGACTTTTGACTAGTGATCCCCGAGGGTCACTCAAGATATCACACTGTGTAGTCAGACACTGAGTTATCACGCTGAAATCTTCGATCAGCACTCTAATATCCCTCGAACACGTCTTTCTAAGATGGTCTAAATGATGTTAAAACCCATTCCTGATCGAATCCGTGTTCTAGTCTTTCGAAGCCGAATGCATCTGCCAGAAACCATCAGTAATAATCTGCTGCAAATGAGCACAAACCAGTCACCAGCTGAGGGAGAGGTTTGGAAAGACATAGGAGGTGGATGGGACAGATTGTACGGATGCTGTTACACTGGGTAGCATTGCAAGTTTTGACTTTAAGTCCTCGAGGCAAAATAAAAAGGCAGGTCAAAAAACATGCGGCGAAATAATTAAAAACAAACTATGAAGGCATGACTACAAATGGAAACTAATTGAAAGCAACGATGACGGAGTCGTCCGGAGATCCCTGGTTAGCGGCCTGCCGCTCAAGACAGGCAACAGGTCCAAGTATGAAGGTGATTAAAGGAGCATAAAAATTCACATGAAATAAGTCTCGGTAATCGCACATTAGGTATTAAGCTTGTCGATGTCTGAAAACATAACTTTCATATTTTTCTTTCTTTTCATTCGTCTGGGGGTACCATAAGTGAAGTACTGTGTATTCGTTCAACTCCAGAATTCTGGAGTACTTATATGGAATCTCATCATGCCTTTGTTTACACCGAGATTATCTTGGATTCTGGAGGCCAGCAAACGTTTTGTCATGGACGAGTTGATAACGGCGATTTATCCGTAACAGAAGTTCCCCAAGTCTACGAAATTGATACTTACCTCATTAGTTTTACTGGATACAGCATAGATGAATGCTCTCGGTCATGCGTCCGCACCAGCTTACGAGTGGGTTAGCCTTTTTTCGTATTCCTCGAGACAACTAGTCAGCTTGGATTACGTGCTTCTCGGCATATCGACTCACTTCCAAATATATCATTGTACCCTTTGATTCTTGACTTCTAGTTTTACTGGGATTGGGATCCTCAATTATAAAGGTGTTAAAAACGAAAGCGTTGTCAAGCCATGAATATCTGTAACATCTTTAGGTCCAAGGTTTATAATGAAGTGTTAAGTGGAACCCAGTCACGGTTTCTCAATGTCTGGAGCGTTTTTGTCTTCATATCAATCATATGTTGGCTATTCATACAGTACGCGAGCCAGATCTCAATTCACCAACAGTGGAAGGCGACTTCTATAATGATAGGATGGTTTATGACATTTTGACGAGGCCTTTGTATTGCAACAAGCGTTTCTTTATTTATTATAATGCTGCTATGAGAAAGTTACTGTTTGGATTACTCACGAGAAGTAACCGGGTGGTTTGAGATATGCTTCCACTACGTAGCAAGTCTTAAAAATAGATATCTTAATATACCCTGATGACTATTTACTGTGTGATCTAACCATCGCTGTTCACAAGACTGAGTTACGGAACACAACCCCAAACAATCAAGACATTGACCACTTTTGGAGAGTTATATTATCTTAACTCAGTGATTTAGACTTCAGTGAGTTTCAGCCAATGCAATCGAATCCATTGAAATATATGCCGGCCACAACTTCATAGACTACCAAGGGCTATCTAGAGTCTTGTCTATACCAAGGTTAATTGTAAGTGTAGTCACAAAAGTCGATCGTAAATTCCCTCGTTTTCGAAAAGCAATGGTACCCATCAACTTTGGAGAAAACGTTCTTGGACCTACTAAGCCTAATCACCTGGATCGGTGCGTTCGGTAATATCCAATTAATAAACTAACACATTGAGCATTGGATGTGTTTAGCTGAGGTATAGCTTGTTAGCTGACGTGCCGAGATGTATTTGGTCAAACTCGCTCCCGTGCATGTCACGTCGTGACTGTTCCGTGGGTAGGTAGTTTGCGGTAAGCTTTAGTGTGGAGTGTTATGATGTTAACATGTGGATGAAACAGTGAATGCCACTAGATAGTATCTGATATCACAAGGGTATTCAGCTAATATTGTCGTTATTTCTATTTTAGACCGCCCTATATTCGTGGAGATGCCTTTCAGTTTTTGAATGCCAGTCGTGAATTCCTTGAATTTGGTAAGCGCTAGTTGTGTAATGTGATGAAAGTTTGAGCCCTTAATGAATATGATATTTCAATGATAGGCCTGATTATGCACTAGTAACAAGATGCAAATATGAGTGTTTGTTTTTGCATTTCAGATCGTACGGAATATGTCGTAACCACAAGTCTCCTTATTCAAGTGGTGAGTTGCTAAATTCAGGTGATGAAATGTTTATGATTGATAAGTGATTATCTTGCTCAACAGGACTGATTGTTTTTCTACCATTTCTAAAACGCTATTTCTTTTCCTTTTCAGGTGTCTCGTCAACTGGTAAGTTCGAATAGTTGGTTGAGTGCATTCTGTATCTCCGCTTGTTGAACTACCAGCGGTCGCTTGAATGCTAAAGTAATGCGTATCTTGTTGGTCAGCGGGTAGCTGACCTGGTAAACTACGCGACAGCTCTATATTTTGCCAATAGCATGGTCAATGCATTCGTTTTTCGAAGTTGTACTTGCAGCAACTAAAATTTGTCAGATTTGCAGTCAAATAAAAAGGTTTTCTTGAAATATCTGTTTCTACTTCTGTCTTGTCTGTAGTTGTCACTCAATCAGAAGGCCTTGAAGTGCAAATATTTCGACCCAACCAGGCTTCATTTTTTGCGTAGTTGGGCATGGTGTCACAGTAAGCGTCATGAATATTGCGTCAGCTAGCCTGTGGGTGGGGTAGGGTCATTCGTTACACAACAGTGATTTCCCCGTGGTAACTGCCAAGGCTTGTCGATCAGGCACGATCAGTGTCAATGACCTAGGGGCCTCGTATGCAGCTTACAGTAGGACGAGGGTGGGTGACCAGTTCTGGTACTTTGGTACTTTGCACGTAATAAAGCAGGCCGTCTATTCGTACTCACTTCAAGCATTCTCTTTATTTCCAGCCCATGTGGCCGGTCTCGAGCGTCGTTCAAGCCGGGTGTAGAGCACTCAATATCAGCTGGAGGAATGTTGTTTCGACTGGTGTCTAGTTGTAGTTCCATGTAGCGCCCCGTGCCACGTTGAGCTCTATCTGGGAAGTCCGAAGAATATGTGCAAAATTCCTTGTTATACCGGTTGGTTGTAACATGAGTACTGTCTATTCCTACATCAGCGCCAGAGAGAATGTGGCACAGAATCTTGGTGTCTTTAGTCCCTGCTACTAGCTCATGGGGGTGTGTGGCGAACTTTACACTCGACAATGCGATCGAGAGGCATTTCGACAGTTTATAACTTTGTACCCCGTCCTGACTGCCGTCAAAGATCTAACTAGTGATGGCGTACAACGTTCTTGCCTTATGTAGGAAAACCACTTATGCTGATTTATTGTCGTTCTTGTCTTCAGAACGTTTACGTTTTGCCTGCTGCATCTATTGAGCGATAAGACGTCCTGATTACATTCAAGCAGTTGGCTTCCGTCATGCTTCGTTTGTTGCCGAAAACCCGTAAAACTGACTGGTGTGGGGCCTACTGCCCGTCTTGGTTGTGGACATATTTATCGCATAACCACGTTTCACTGATTGCTCGGGTACAGTCATTCGTGGCGAGCGGTCAACCGTCGAATTTCTTGACACTGGATCCGTCGTCGATTTACGGGATAAGACTTTACTATCGGGCCGTCTATTAGGTTGGTGTGTCTGGGGAGTCTACTAACGTCCCGAGAGCCTTATAGAGG